TTATATATAAAAAAAAATAAAAATTTTTATTATTTTATTTTTATTATTTTTATTTATTTATTAATAATAATAAAAAAAAAAAAATTTTTTTTTTTAATCAAAAAAAAAAAAAAAAAAAAAAAAAAATTTGTGATACAAAAAAAAATAAAAATATAGACTGCTGCGGAATTTCCAATATACGCGGCAATTTTAAAAAGTCATTCCGCAAGTTTAACTTGTACATTCGCTAACTTTGTTATACATTTGCTAAGAATTTGAACTTTGTTGATAATAATAATGTTTTAGCTTATTTCTTCTTTATTATATCCAAAAAAATTTAATAATTACTTATCCTAAAATTAAAAAAATGAATAATATGATTTTATTATTTTTTGAACTTGTAAAGACAGTAACACCTTAATTCAAAGATGGTTGTAACAAAGGGAATTGAGGCAAAAGTTACTGTACAAGCAATAGTGTCACAAACGTCAACACTTTTTTTAAAAATTCAGTGACGACTTTTAGATTTATTAATCATACGACCCCTAAATCCTTTCGTTCTAAATATTCTTTTCAAGTGTTATCATCCCCTGTTAGAGTTGTTGCCTTTCATTCAGGTAATAAGTAATGCATTTAATTGATTCTTATAATAGATTAAAAGATTAAAACCAAATTTCATCAAATTTCATCAATGATAATTTCTATTATTTAGGACATACCCATTTATTTCAAAATTCCAAATCTGCTAAAGATGGGGCCAGTAAGTTTATTTTAGACCTTAATTTACATAATAATATCATTACTATTATCCTCGATTAATATATATGTATATAGGTTATATTAATGTATCTATCAATGATGCAGTAATTTTACCAACAAAGAATAAAGCATCTGGATCATTTCACTGGAATTTTGAAAGATTTTTTTCGATATCATTAGTTCCATTAACAATCACTTCAGTTATAAATGGAGCACATCCGATTACAGATCTTTGTCTAGGAATAATCTTACCAATTCATTGTCATATTGGATTTGATACAATTATTACAGATTATTTGCCAGCTCATAGATCACCAAAACTTAACAAAGTATCTACGTGGGGATTAAAAGGTGCTACATTGTTGGTGCTTAGTGGTTGTTACATGATTAATACACTTGATGTGGGAATGACTGAAATCGTAAAAAGAGTTTGGCATGCTTAAAGATGATTCTCGGAGAAATAAAAATAATTATTTAAAGAAGAAAAAAACAAATAAATTTTTTAGTATTTATAATAAGAATTATGATTTTTTCCCTCCAAATGCATATACAGTGTATTTCGAAAATAATTGCTCTCTGTGTTATTTGTGTACAAAAAAAATCCACGTTTTACATCTTAATATATGTTTCTTTTAACATATTTACAAAATAAAATTACTATTTGTTGTCACTGAAACATTTTCTAAACATGTAAACATAGTGAATGCAATATCGTATTATTAGCTGGATGGAACTAATTCAGCACAAATATGCGCAATAAAAAAACAAAACAATAATTTTTTTATAAGGCAGCGAAGTATCACATGTGATGATTAGAAGTATATAAAAGAACGGTAGGTGTTAAAATGTTTATTATTTAATAACAGTTAATATTAATATTAAACAAATATAAAACACAAGCTTCCAAGGTAATAATGAATTTCAACTTGTTTACAAGATCTGAAAGACTAATAAATATTGCGGGACAACTATAAATTTAATAATGTCATGTAAAAACTTCACGGACTCGCCATTTTCTGCAATTCGGATAGGCGATAGGCAGATGCCTTCATTTGCTGAATCATCTTCAAGATTTTTGCCTTTCGAAGAGAAAGCATCAAAGATTAAATTTCAAGACAAAGAATCAATAATAAAATTCGTGTTTACAATATTTTTATAAATCATCATGATAATGACCTATATAAAGCTAATCCTCCGGAAACATTTAAAAAATGAGATAATGGACATGATGTTATTGGTGAGTCGGATATATGGTCCTTCAAACTTATTGTTTAAATCAAAATAAAAAAAATTTTCCTGATAAACTTAATTTGTAGAATTTGTAGTTACAAAATTTTGAAAAATACGTAGGTTATTTCATGTGATCAGGCAGGTTTTGATGATGGAAGAGATGTTAAATGATCCAGCCTGGTCCGGTCCATATCAATATGGACCAAACTGTCAGTTTTAAAAACAATCTGAAAACGAACCAATGGTTCAGTCCAAGACTGCAGTCTTTATTGATTCAAATATCATAATTTTTTATAATAAGAATTAATATACATATTATTTATTAATTAACCAAATCCAATTTAGCTCTTCATCACCTTCCATATTTTCATCGGATGTAGATGGGTTGTTCAACGACATCTAAAATAATTTGATCACTATCAACTTCTGAAAAATATGTCATCAGGAAATTTTTAGAGGCGTCAATTAGCATTGAACAACGTCCCTCTTTTTTGACATCAAAAAAGTGGTAATAAAAGACTTTATGCAAATAAACGGCATTGAAAATTAATGTTGCATAATGCGTAATAGATATTGCACAATGCAATCATCGATAACTTTATAAAGAATTTAATTTGCAATTTACCAAGCAACATGATAAAGGTATTAGGGTATTAAAATGACCACCATAGAACTAAATAACAATAACAATAATATCTTATTATTATGCTTCTTGCTATTACTGCAAAGGTGCAAAGCGCTGATCAACAATGTCGGTATCAAGTTTTGGGCAACTGACGATTGACATTCTTCAGTCAAAATTTACTGAGAACTAGGAATTACTGTTGCTGTTTATTTTTCTATAACCTTATCATCTATAATAACAATCGCATGACCTGTTTCCCCTGAAATTGGGCTACGAGATTGATTTCTTTCTTCTCTAGTCCTATCATTCTTTTATTGGAAATAGAGATAAACTTACAAGACATGCTACAAAAACTTTATATAGTCAAAAAGCACATCATGGCACCAGCTCTTGTTAAGCAAGTTGGCCAAAATAAGGAATCCAAGTTCGTTACTTTATTAGAGGGATCTTTGTGTGATTTTCTTCTATTCATAGAAGGAAATTAAAAAAATCACATCACATAGTTTAATTTAATAGTTATTATTTACGATGTTGAAGTCAAGATGCTCCACACTTCGTAACTATGCAATTAATACGAATAAGGAAAAAATTGATGACTATTGTACGGATCAAGGTGCTTGTTTCGGGAAAGCAGATTTTCTAAATTTTTATTCGCTTTATTCGTCTTATTCGCTTTATTCACTTCATTCGAATAACACTCGATGTAATTCGAATACTCAATTCATAACGAATAAAACAAATAGTTACTATTCGAATATAATCCTATTGGAAAGGTATATTTACTAAAATATTTGATTTAAAAACTGCCAACTATTCTACATTACAATCCTTAGAAGTAGAAGTAAATTATTCCGCATTTGACATTTCCGTTACAAAAATGAAATCGATTTTTTGACCTTTAATAAAAAAAATTATTTAATGAATTTAATTTTATTCTAGTTGAATTATCAATTACATTTTCATAATAAAAGTTTTTAAATTTATATTGGTGATAACTAAATTTTGCTGGAATCTTTATAATGTTTGATTTTGTTTAGAGTATTCCCCGATTATTAAATTACAATATTGAATGTTAAAAAAAAAAAAAAAAATCAGAAGAGGGTTCTTTCAATTTTAAAATAAGTAGAATTCCAGTACTCCCAATCACCCCCAACATTAGTATCTCCGAATAATTTTAAAGCTCTAAATTGTATATAATAATCACCATTTGGTAATTGTTTACCATTACTAACAGTGGTTGATGGAACAAATTCTCCATTATCACTAAAACTTCCTTCTATATAATCACCTGCCCAATTTCTAAATAATGGAATTTTTCTTGTTTTTGCAACAAATCTATTTTCACCACTTATAATAAAAGTATTGTCGTTGTTTGTCAATATGCCTAAAGGTTGGTTTGTTATTGAACTAAATATAATTACATAACATAGTGCACTAGGTGTTGAAAATACTGTCCTTAATACAGGATGATTTTCAAATGTCATTGAAAATGTATGGTTTGGTGTTAATGTTGCATCTTGTGGAGTTAGAATCTGAGGAAATTCAGGACTTTGAAATATTGGTAGATCTTTTGCTGGACTTGCTAAACCAGCTAGAAAAACGGTTTTTTATTGTTTATTTAATCAAATTAAATTTTTATTTTTAAAGTAATAATAATAATAATAATAATAAAATATATTTACCATATGGAATCGTGATGTTGCTATAGTTGGTAATATTTGGTACAAATTTAATAAAACCATTATAAAACCAAAAACCTGCATCTTGAATGGTTGGTGGCGTAATTTTTAGATTGATATTGAGGTTGGTTTGATTTGTAATTGTGAAAATATTAGGTTCAATTATAATATCAGCAACCACATTACTGTAAATCAAATCTTTACTCTCCAATATTGTTGTGCCATTATAACCATTTAAACTGTAAGAAGGTTCATGTATCACTATAAATGACACTTCCTGATACTCACTTAAACCTTTGACAGTTAAATTCTTTTCAATATAATTCAATTCCTTATTACTAATTCCATTTAATGTATCATTCAATGTTAATTTTGATGGTGATATCAATATTTTACCTAATATTGTATCAAACACATTGACTAATCCTGTGCCTTGTTGTAAAACTGGTGAGACAACAGTTCCGGATGGAAATTTGAGTGGTCTAGCATAATTCATGAATGCATTTCTCACATCTAAAGTTGGTTGTTTTATACCAGTTGCTGATAAATATAATGCAACACATCCTGCTATATATGGTGTTGCCTGTTTTATTTTAGAAATTTTACAAGTTTAGAGGTTTTAAAATTTGATTGGTGACGATTAAATATTTAAAGGTTTTAATTACCATGCTTGTTCCTGAATTTAAAGAATAACTACCAAGAGGTAAAGGATATGTAGAAAACATTACTCCACCAGGTGCAACAATTTCCTATTTCATTAAAATAAAAATGATAAATATATTTTTTTTAAAAAACTTTTTTTTTTTAAAAATAAAAAATAAAAAATTTAATTAAAATTTTACTCACTGGCTAATTAAAGAAACATAAACATATACATAAATATATATGTAATATTAGTAAATTATATATATATAAATTTTATTATTAATTAAAATTTATCAATATTTACCTTAATATCTAGAGTAGGAGTTAATCCCCAAGAACTAAAATATGAAATTACTGAACCAAAACTATTTTCTATAATATAACCTTTTTTATCAGAAAAATCTAAAGTCAATGGTTTATTAGTCACTGCTCTGTCTAACAATAGTTGAGCTTCAGTTGATATAATATATGCAACTGGATATTTAACATCATCTTGACGTGGACTAGCTAAGGCAGGTCCTGTAGTTAGATTATTAATAACAAGAGCACCCACAACTTTAGCTATTTGTAGATCTGTATACTATTTTTTTTTTTTAATAATCAAAATTAAATATTAAATAATTAATAAATAATAATTGATTTCTTGCTATAGAAAAAAATTTTTGATTTTGAAATTAATTACCAGTTGTGATATAATACATTGATTAATTTTTGCAGCATAAATATTTAGAATTACTACTTTTCCTGCTAAAGTTTGAGCAGGGACATCTTTACAATTGTTTGAACTATCAAAGATTACTGTTTCTCCTTGATTAATATTAAAAGGTCTAGCACTACTTGAAATATAATCTATATTAAAGAAACAACACATGAATTAGTATAATATCATTTTCAAATCATATTATTTAAAACATAATTTTTTTACCAATTATAAATGAAGAATCTTTAATATCAGTTGCCCGGTAAACGAGAAAATTTTTAGCATCCATTGATGCAACAGAAATGGTGCCATAACCAATTGCAGGTATACCAGAATCCCAGATACCACGAATTCCTTCATTACCATTGGCAGCTATAACATTGATTCCTCGATTTGCAATTGAATCTGCCAAAACAGACATTGAAGTTTCTGCCCATCCTTCACCTCCCTAATAATAAGCAAATAATTTGTTAAATGACAAAATCAATAAATATTTACATTTATTTATAAGATAAACAAGTAAACTTACTAAAGATAAATTTATTATGTCCATTTGATCAGTTG